CAAAAGAAGTTTTTGAGTTTATTTATTCCTACACATTATTTTTTTGTGCAAGAATAGGACAAAAAAATAATGATACATTCATCAAACATAGTGCGTCATAATATTTCAATTTTAAATAGACATTTTTTCTATCAATATACTTAGTAAATAAAAAAAATTTGTTTTACATTTCTATTTATAATGTTACAAAACTTCAAAATAATTATTGTTGTTTCTTACAATGTTAATGTTTTTCAAAATGATTAATGTAGCATAGTTTAAAATTCAAGATTACAATATAGTTTGAATATTTTAGAGTGGTTTGCAAGAAAAAATATTAAAATTTAATTGAGATCTATTTTAATGTCTTGATTATGCTTTGTTGAATTACTACTTGACCAATTTGCTACTGATAAATATGTCTTTTTTTTAATAAAGTCGGTAATCATGTATATGTAACGTCTTAGGCCCTAAGTGCATAGTTGCATTGAATGCATGCAATATATGGAGGTTGTTGCACTTTGTATATGAATTCAAAATTAGATTATTGGAGATATCAATTTCAGTGAAATAATTCACTTAGCGCAATCCATTGCATTAACCTGGCTTGAACTCAAACATGGCTTCTAATATCTATGACTTTGTTTGCATATAGCCTCGGTGAAGAATTCTTTGATGTTGCTAATCAACTCCTAGCTTTTAAAGTTCTGCAACCAGAAAAATTTTCAAGAGTATTTAAAATTTTTTTATTGATTTTCATCTTTCCATAATGATATGTTCAAACCAAGAACTATAGAAGTACAGTAGAATGAAGTAATCGACAACAAAATGAAGTTGATTGCAAAATATTTTTTTTTATCTTGCTACATAAAGATAATTCCAACGTCTCTAAAGACCGTAACCTTACTATTATTTGTATCTATTTAATTCTAAACATCTTTCAAACATCTTTCATCTAGATAACAAAATTCAAATGAAAAATGACAATGAAGGAATGGAAAAAAAATGTAAGAATCTTCTTAATGAAAAAGTGGATTTTATTTCAAAGGTAATTTGATCAAGTGCAAGTCAATAAACTTCTCCATCTTTCATGGATTTCAAAACGCATGTTTGCTACAAAAAACAGTGGATTTGAACTTTGAACATATACAAAAGAATTATTAAAGCACGTTGGTCTAGGTGAACAAGTGAAGAGGTTATGATCAAATGTTATCATTGATCATGCCGCAAAAATTTTGCAAAAAAGTAGATTACAGATGAATGTTTCTTTATCAATAATCCATTGCATGTTGCAACAATATTACATTAGCCCAAGACGTTTATAATACTCAAACACCAAACAAGTAAATTTGAAGTATACAATTACATCAAAGGATTACATATGATTTATGAAGAGGAAAAAAGTGATGATTGTGATACAATTTTCTAATTTGATCTCAATAATTCATTATGTTTCAATAATATGCATAGATATTCTCTGAGTATGACATTAATTTCCAAATGATATAAGAATTTCCATCTCGTCACTATCTTTTTGTTGAAATCTAGGAAGAAGTAGATTATGATTCGATGACAGTTGATTTCTTTGTTCATTCAATTTTTTGGTCTAAATTTTACACAACAAAGTTCACGCGAAGACAAAAACTTTCTTGTATTTCAATCAACAAGAGATGGAGTTTACATAAAATGTGAGGCCTAAATATGTGCACAAAATTATTGATTTAAACAACTTTTGCACATACATTTGAATTGCAAGACAAATGTGAGTTGGAATGTGTATGATGAAAGTCCACTACCTTGCTTTTTTGTGACTCAAGATCAAGTTACACACAAAAATAGAAGGCTTCACCTTTGCTATCAATGCTTCACGAGAGCTCACGATCACAATCTATTCAAATCAAACACGATTGGATCAAAGACAAAAGACATCAATGAAAATGATCTTGTTGGGAAATTGGCTATCGTTGCGATTACAAATCTAATTTTTTCAAAAATGTGCAGATTGTGTCGCGAAATAAGATATTATGTGGCATGCACGAGCAAAACAATCTTCACAAATTGTCTCAACCAACGAAGTCAAGGTTTGGAGTAAGTTCACAAAGATTACATTGCAATTCATGATCTACAAGTCACATATGGTCAAGGCAAAATTTTAAAATTTTTGTAAGCTTTAACCAAGTTTACGTCAATTTCTATCACAAAATGCATGTACTAAAGAAGATAAAGATAACATCACAAAGTAGAAGCATTGTTTTTTGGAGCAAACAAAGCTAATTGATCATAACACCACCGCACGAGTTGTAACAATAGACTCAACTCGACGAAACGAGCATGAAAATGAACTACACAAGGTTCATTCTGTTGCTTTCTTGTTCATCTCTTCTTTCGTTTATTTTGCTTTTTTTATTTTTTGTTTTACTCTTATATCAATTATTGTGAAAATTCACACGACACAAAATGCACACGTGAAAAAATTCACAAAACACGTAGTGAAATCATTTTTAGTTAGATAGAACTAAAATAGAAATTACTCAAAATGTTTATATAGTTGATTTAGCGTGCATTAGTCATACTGCCACGTCAATGACTCGCGTGCTTTGTAGGTAGAGAATAAATGTGATATTTGAGAATGACACGTCAACAGTTTGTAAGGTTGTTGGATAAGAATTGAGTGTGTTAGTTAGTGTGTTAGTTGGGGACATCACGTAAGCAATCCAAATGCTTGTTAGGGGATACCTAACCTATTTGATATTCAACTTGGTTGCATGATATAAACATCATTTTTTGATGTATCTTATGGCTTGTTGGGATGCAAATTTTATGACTAAAGTGATGGAGTCGAGAGTGTCTTACAAAGTTAATGAGATGATTTTCATTCGGAAAACCATAGTTTAAGTAACATGAACTATGTACATTCAAGAGTATGATAGCAGCTCTGACGATAAGCATTACGATGAGTAAGAGTTCCTTGTAACACCGAAAGAAACTTAGGATAAAAGAAAATTTGTAAGTTGATTGTTTTGGGACATCTTTTATGACTCTAAAGAATCATTTACAAAACCAACAAGTAAATATTATAAGAAGATTTAGATTAATGTATATTCTATTAAAATTATATTTGGATTAATGTGCATTTCAAGCTTCAAAACTAGAAAGAGTAACACTTGAAGCGAGAAAATTAAAAGTGATAACACTTGAAGCAAGAAAATTGAAAGTCAAATCAATATTGGAAGAATTGTAAAACTAGTGTTTACGAAGTTGAGGTACAATGTACCAAAATTCTTTATATATATAGTTATGACACTACTATGAACTCTAAAGTTGAAAACTTGTCATTGACTATGAAGTTGGAAAAATTTGACACCTGCTACAAATTTGGAAAAATTTGGCATCGACTCTGCACTATCATTTCTATCGTATGTCATGTCCTGACTGTTTGTAGTGTAAAGGTTCCATGTTAATCCAATCAGATCTATTCTTCATCATATATTTCTTTTTTAACACTTAAATTTAAAATATAAACTTTCATGAGTTATAATTTGAACTATATCCTTTATCACTATAAATCTAACATTGCTGTAGATTTTAATTATAGTGCCAATGATAATGATGTTGATCACACAAATAACTACATCTATATAGCATATAACTACTAAAGTAAACATAACATGAAACATGGTTTGATGTATAGTATGAGAGTGTTATTAGGTGATATTTACTTACTGTATATAATATTATACTTCAATATTGATTGATAATTGGTGTTTGATATATAAATTTTAAGAATACCTCATCAATGCATTTATATTTAGTGAATGATTCTGCTTTCAATCATTATTTTTATCATATTTTAATATGTTTAATTTGCATATCATGTATGTTTGTTAACAAATTAGTGTATCATGACATTTCAAATGTTTCATTGAAGATTTGGTAGATGAAAAATAATTTTTTTTTATTTATAATAAAACGTAGGTTTTTTATTAATAAAAATTATTATATTGTTGTTAGTTTTTCCTTAATGATTGTAGAATGACTTGTATTTGAACCATATGCATGAGATGTGCATACAAAATCATATTATTTATAGGGGAGGCTAGTTATTCCTCACCTAGTGCTAATTAACCCTCACCCTACTATACTTACGTCACTCATTGATTCACTCGAGTTATACGATCGCGCAGTAAAATATTATTTGTTTTTAGAGTAAGTTTATTATTTGTGACAATGATGAAAATTTCACCACAAATGTTATTATAATAAATATAATCTAAACTTTAGATCAAGAGAAAGAGTATTGATTAGATTGTGATGGAAGAAAATTGTAATTGATGGAAAATATGATGAATTTATGATTGTTTTGATAGTTCCAAATCATTATTGAAAATGTGAAGATTCTTTGATGAAATCATTTATGAAATCCCTGAAATGTGAAAATAGCCAAGATTTTCAAACATATGAAAATATTGAAAATTAAGGATTAATTTTTTCATTGAATATATACACAACTATATGTGAATTTTGAAATGTTGTTGAAAATTTACATCACAATTTATTATGTAAAAATTTTATTTAAATTTAATATAAATGTATTATTTATTTCAAGAAGAATATTAGTATTTTATAAAAGTCCTTGTTAATCCTACCTATGAGATCAATAACTCTACCTGATGTTGTCATTGGCAGCATACATTGTAGTATAAATTAATTGTTGTTTTGCGAGCAACAATTTATGGGTAGATTTGTGTATCTGGAATGCACACAATTGTAAGCATGTTGACAGGGCGAAACACTCCAGTCCAATTGATCTGTACTAAACTTTGTGATTGCATTTGTACTTGGCAACTGCAATCTCGATCGAGCGGCCGATGATTGGAGGTGGTGCTTACTATATGACCACGGGCAGGTGTCTGAACTTACTTACAGTCTAGAAGGTTTTTTCATTCGACGACGCTAGTAGCATGATTACGGTAAATGACTGTGAGCGCTATGAAACCTCTGGCGGGTCAATTTTGCGAGGGCTGGGGTGGGGTTTTGCCTTTCGGCCCAGAAACAGCCGTTTGTACACCGGTCCCCGTGCTTTGCTCTGCTCAGCCGATTCCGCCAGTTCAGCGGGGTCTGCCTTTTCGACATCATCCGACAAACGTCCCGCGCCGTGTCCGAGGGTTTAAGGTCGAGGATTTAACGAGCAGATAGATGTCGCGGGTCTTGTAGCTTCGAGCAGCAGAGCAGAGCACAATTTGGAGTCGGTCGCATTCGGGAATTATGGCCATGGCCTTGCGGAGCACATGTGCTCGTGTGCCCGGGCCACTGCAAGAATTTGTGTTCGCAGGAAGCCGGGGGCACGCTTACGCCATGCGAATTGGTTGCCTCCACGCTGCATCCGCTTCCTCCCCAGCTCTAGTGCTCTCTCACTCTCAGGTATGGCCTCGTCGTGGCTCGAGCTCGTAAATCCGTGCTGGGAATGGAATTCGCGACACGTTTTGTCAAGGACGCTGCTCGGTCGGAGGTTTGGCGAATAACCCGACGAGCTTCTCCTTCGATTTTTTAGAGATTTGTTTTCCACGGACGATCTTGGTTGGGAAGTGAATTCTATCACATGTCCCTGATAACGAAATTTTCTGCCTCACTGACAATATGATTTTGCATCTTGTCCTATTTTGGTGAAGTCGTACAGGTTACTTGTGGAGAAGTTCGTGTTTTCAAGGCTAGTTTCTCGCTTGAATGTCAGAAGCAAGCCCTCTCCGGCTTTTCAGAGAAGAGGTATCCAAAGCTCGCATTATTGATTATTGTCTTCACATCAATTCAATACAACTTGGAAGTGATACATCATTACGTTCCAACACTGAGGAATTTTGAAGCGCCCTCATTTACATCTCGAATTATAGAACCCGACATTCGTGCCATCAGTCTCTGGCTCACTCGAGAGTGTGTTGAGAATTCGTTCATGGCGCCATGGTTGCAGTAATCAGCTCTTTCGCGAGTCCTATCTTGGAAACGGAAGTCAGAGACTCCGGTGACTTTGTGGAAGTGGGATACATTGCCGACACACATGGAGTGCATGGGGAACTTCACGTTTATTCTCTTACGGACTTCCCAGAGGAACGTTTTGAGACGGTGACTGTCATCAACCCCACACTGATATGTGTTGTTTCACAGTTTCGGAAGCTTCAGTTCTATGTGACTGTTATATTGACGATTCATATCATTCGCATATTGTTCGTAAGCTACTTAGTTACTGTTTACACCCGCTGAGAATCATGAATGTCGTGAACCTCTTGGTCACAAAGGAGAAGTAGTTCGATTTAGCGTTTACATGATGGCGAGGAGTAGACTAAGCTTGACAATCGAATAGCGTTGGAAATTCAGCCAGGTAAACGGTGGGTGCGTTCTAAAGCCATGGGTAAGCATGTGTATCACGAGGTGGAGCTCCTGCAAGGGAGGGAAGTAGGAGGGAAACGTCCTTCGTGGCTCATCAAACTAAAGGGCTTCAACTCGATTGAGAAGGTACAGCTGTTTTAACATGTTGTGTGGCTCATTCATGTGGATTGCCCTGTTTGATTCTTACGTTTTCTCGTCTGGTCGTGAAACCAGACTGCCAATTTTATATGCACATCTCTTTATTTTCTCTTCTGAGTAGTGGTTTATTGTTCTGTTCTCAATGGAAAAGAGTTCAAGGCTTGATATTAGGTTCAAGGGTCTTTCTCTTTCAATACAACTTCTCATGGAGAAGTAACCTTTTAAGTCATGCAGGCCAGTGATCTCGTTGGATCAACCCTGGTTGTGACAGAACGACCTTCTTTGAGTGACGACGAGTTCTATATACCTGATCTTGTAGGAATGGCTGTCATTCTTCAGGTATATCAGGTTCAACCTGCTTATGTCGTGAGTTTGTACTTAACTTTATCGTGTTCCATTGTTTGATTCTTGTTGCATCAGTATCGTCTGTGTTCCCCTGCAAAGTTCGGAATTCTTTTGCTTTATTTTCAAAGTCTATTGTTCAATCTTTGCATAATTAAAACGCATCATTGCACAGGAAAGCGGTCAAGAAATCGGTGTAATAGTGGATGTCTACAACACTGGTGGTGATACTGACCTCTTGCAAGTGAAACGAACTGACGGATCTTCTAGCCAAAAAATCTGGATACCATTTGTCAAGGAGATCGTACCGATTGTTGACAAGGACGGAAGGCGGGTCGAAATTAACCCACCCGCTGGCCTTCTTGAGCTCAATTCTCCCGGTGAAAGCAAAGATGAGAAAGTTAAACGTAAGCAGGTAAAGTGGACCGTAACTCTTATCTTCTCTTATTCTAGTTTCACTTCTCATCCGTTTTAAGCTTATTCTTATATCAACTTCTTTCGGCAGATGGCGATAGCCTTTTTTATGGAGACGTGATAGTACACTTTGTCTGCATCAGGAATATAAATGTAGTACTCCATGTGCCTCGTTTTTTATGGTTTTTTAATGCAAGTTCAAAAGCTGTTACCCATATTCCGAAGAGCTGAATGTTGCAGGAGACTTTCCCGTGATCGCGTCGCAGGTTTCAATAGGAACCGTCTATTACTGTCCTATATATATGACGTACCAGAGCGACTTCTTTAGTGGTCTGCGGCGTCATGTTATTTCTGCTTCTTAGTAAGATAGTTTCGTACGACCTGGCATCAATATCTGCTCTGCTGTGACCTCTGTTCCTTTTCCGTGTCAAGAAACAAGGTCGAAGTAAAGTCCAGGTGTAGTTACAATGACATTTGCGATATGCTGATAACTCTCAAAACTTACGTTGGCCGTCGATCAAACCGGTCATTTAAAGCAGTGGAAGTCCTGTCGATTTCTCCAGCTATGGTTAATTGTGTCCATACTCTTTTCTGTACGTTTGGGTGAACTACGTTCTTGAATCGCAGTTAAAAGTTACTGTCCCTGCAGGAGCTCAAGGAGAAAAGGAAAGTTCGAGAGAGGTTTGCAGGCTTGAAGAAAAGGTTGACAGCTATTGGGCAAACACACATCCTCGAGGGGCTGCTGTCTGGTACCGAATCTCAACAACAAGATTTGGTCAACCAGCTACTAAGTATAGACTTTGCTTCCTTCCAGCGTGCACTACAAGACGTTCTTCCCTTGCCGGACTTGAGTCCAAGGTGAGATTCTTGACTGCTGTTTGAAGCTTCATTCGTGTCTGGTTAATTTAGGACAAAAAAATTTGTTGTAACATGCATCCAACGGGGATTCAATTGGATGCTTTTTGTAGCTTGAGTGCAGTTCGTTTTATTTATGCCACTCTACAAGCGAGATGTGCTGTAAGGAGTTGAAACGTTGTTGATGGTTTAGGTTCGTGCCTCTGTGCAATCTGAATAGAATCTACTGCACCGTTCCGTTCCTCCTCTTTTGCTTCTTTATCGGTATGGTAACCTGATTGTTAAGGATGATTGATTGGGAAGGGAGGCGCAGGATTAGGAAGAAGCTTAGAAAGCTGATAAGTATGGCAGATTATGAGTAATTAGGAAACTGGTGACGAGAGATACTCTATTTTCCATCACTTTGACACCAGCGTGACGTGCGCTGAGGAAATCATATAGAGGTGTTTGTCTTTGTTGTATCATAACTGTTCTGTTATTCTTCCCTTGATGGATGCGTGGTGTTCCTTGCATGAAGCATATCCCCGTTTCGTGTTCATATATGATCATAGTTGCCACACAGGCTGCCGGGTCCTTTTTTCTCACGTCTTGATAGAAGAATCACTTGCAAGTTTCTGCTTTTCCATGTCCCCTCTCGACATACTTGATTCGAGTTCATCCCTTATTTTGCTGTGGGCTCTTCATACATATTGTAACATCAGATGGAGCAAGTTGATAAGTTTCACTCTCTGTGTTGCCAACTTTTTGCCTCAGAATGTAAGACCGTATTGGTTCGAACATTCCATTATGCATTATGTATATCAACTCGTCTTCGTGAATGCAGGCAGCAAGGACATGATTCGCGTCGAGAGCCACCTTCCGCTTTTCCATGTGCAAACTGGCAAGAGCTTCACACCTGGCTTGATCAAGAGGAAAGTTCAACGGAGAACGGCGATGTATGTAGATGGTGGACAGACGGGCTACAGCTCATAGCTGATGGGAGAGTTGCTGTGGTGGTACTCGCAGGAGGGCAGAGCACAAGACTGGGTGATAATGCTTCAACTGTAAAGGGGTCAATTGACTTAGGTCTTGTAAGCGGGAAGTCCTTATTTCAGCTGCAGGCAGAACGATTGCTCATTGTACAAGAATTGGCCAAACTGGTACTTTCCTCTTGAAATTGAGCATCTTTGACCTTACTCACATCCGCCTGAAGACGTTGGTTATTAGCGGATGAAGGGTCTTCTGTTGTACTAACTTAAGATGTTTCTTTACAGGTAACAGGTTCTGAATCAAGGCCTTGTATTCCATGGATTGTGATGACAAGTGATGCCACGGACGAGTACACCCAGGCATACTTCGAGGACAACGAATTCTTTGGCCTCGACAGTGCTCAGGTCTATCCTTCTTTTACTTCTTATTTCCCTTTCGCTTGAGTGCTGACCGACTTGCCCTTGATATAAGAAGTTGCCTCGTGAGTCTTAACATAATCCGGTTATTGACTGTTGTAAAGTTTGCCGGAACAGGTCTGGTTCGTCAAGCAAGACAGTATGCCATGCATTGATCTTGATATGATTGAGGACCGCCATCGCATTCTTTTGGAGACTCCTTGGAAAGTAGCACAGGCACCGGGCGGAAACGGGGGCCTTTTTACTGCTCTAAATGCTCAAGGGATAATTGATCGACTTGCTGAAGAGGGTGTGGATTATGTACAGGTAAGACTGTTATGTACAAGGGTTAAGCAACTATTGATTTGAGTGCAACAGGATGTGCTGTTAATATCGATAGATCGCTGAAAGTGCATACAAGTGAATAGTAGTGAACTATCGAACAAGAAGTACACCCCCAGAACGTCGGCTTTGAAAATGAAATGGCTGTCATGAACTTGTTCATGACTATTTGCTCAATTAGTATGACGTAAATGTGAAGACAGTCTACGTCAAGTACTAAAGCCATATCGTCTTTTTGCTTGATGGACCCATGCAGGTGTATGCTGTTGATAATGCCCTGGTAAGAGTGGCAGATCCAGTCTTTTTTGGTTATACGAACGAACGTGGTGCTGACATCGGAGTCAAAGTTGTCACCAAAACTTCTCCCGACGAAGCCGTCGGGGTGGTGTGTATCAACCATGAGATGGTGGAGGAAGAGGGCTCCGTGTACTCTGACACTGTCAATTACATTGACAAGGCTCATTACAGTGTCTTGGAGTACAGTCAGATTTCCAATTCATTAAAGTATGCCACTGAAGATACCATAGAAGGAAGGCAGCTGAAGTTCCGAGCTGCCCACATTTGCGTGAATATCTTCTCTCTTAGTTTGATGAAGATGCTCGGGCTTCCGAAGAACGAGCTCCAGTTTCATCCAGTCTCGAAGAAAATTAAGCATGTAAAGCAGCAAGGCAAAGAATGGGTAGAAGTGATACCAGAGAGACCAAATGGAGTCAAGCTGGAACGGTTCATATTTGACTCCTTCAAGTTTTGTGATCTACACAAGGTACAAAACTTTAAATTTGCATCCACCTGCTTCTAGACGGGTGTACCATACTGAGATCTCGGTTTCTTCTCGTGTTCTCATTGCAAGTTTGTTTTCTGTCTATCCGGTGTGTCTCAGGTTGCTCTGTTGGAAGTCAGACGAGAGGACGAATTCGCACCCGTGAAGAACGCGGCAGCTCCGGAAGTGTCTGACACTGTGAACACAGCTCGTTGTATGATAAACTCACTAATCAGCAGATTGCCATGTTTGTCTCTTTCAAAATCTGACTCTCAACTCAGACAGTTGGTGAGAAACCTTAATCTGGCTTACATGGGAGGAAGCATTGAAGCAAATATTAGTGATTTCGTTTGCATCGACGAAACAGAGCAGAGTGAACTGTGATTCATTCATTACATACGCGCAACATTTTAGATTAAAAATTCAATAAATGAGGTGGAGATGTCTCAAGCCTGGTTGTGGTATTGGTGATAGGTTTTGCGCCGATCATGCATGTACGAATTAGTTATTCTTAAATTATGGAGCCTTGTGAGATGTTTAGAAGTGTATCCTCGGTGCTGAGGCCTTCTGTTGATGCAGTCATCATCCATCAATAATTCACGTTTATTCTGTTTGAACTGGAATACATGGACATGATTCGACTATCGGATGACCTGAATCCTGAAGGCCATTGACTGGAGAGCTCGAAAGTATCTCCATGATGGCCTTCTCACCGTGCAGAGACCCATCGAAGCTCCGCGTCTTTGCCAGAGAGTAATTTAGGCTCATTATTGGACCCAAATTCTCCTCTCTTTTTGAAATAAAGTAACCCCGCTTAGCGGAGCCTAGACCTGTGTCGAGGGTGCTCATTAATCACCCGTACTATGCACGTAACGTTAGATACTCGAGGTCTTCCAGACGCCCCCCCCCCCCTCCAAGCGTAGCTGCTCTTCTGCAATCTCTCAGACAGATGTCAAGTCAGTGTACTGATTATCTTACCTCTTCACAACAGCTTCCACGCAATCCTACTTTTCTCCGATATCTGCGACGCAGTAGGGAGCTCGAGTGTTCAGATCCCTGAACTATAGATCGTGAAAAAAGCAAGGAAAAGCGCCCAGGTCCATTCTGGTCTCCCAAAGCCTGCTGTCAACGTGTGCAGTACTGAAAGCGAAGGCCAGCGAGCCTCATAGATACTGTTCATTAGACCGCCCGCAGAGGCCTTAACAAATCGGATCTAAGTTCGATAACGACCGTGAGCAGAGCAGTACAGGCTCTGGTAAGCAAAGACCACTTTTGTGACCAGTCCTCGGAAGGAATGAAAGGCCTAAGCTTGAGGCCTTTGGATCTTTCTGGTGAACGAGCTCGCCCAGTTTCAGACATGATGAGAGAGCCGAGAGAGCCTTTTTGTCTTTGACGTTCAGATGTATCATTGGGACAAAAAGGGAAGGGGAGGCAGCCTCGTCGACTGCCTGCCTGCAACGTGCTTGAAACACGGTGGACGCAAACCATGGGTCAATGAACCTGAGGTGAGGACGAATGAACGAGAGGAGTTTCATGTTACAACTTGAATCTTGATAGAAGTTGGGGAATAAATATTCTCACCGTGTACTCGGGCCCTTTGAGGCTGTTCTGTTCTTTATTGAAGAATCGCGCTGATTGGTGAGCAGATCGAGAGGTTTCACGACTGACAACAGGTGAGCTTCTGTAGGATTTTGTTTGCTCATGTCTTGGTTTCCCTCCATCCCATGTAAGTACACGTGATCCATCCACGCGGATCAGTGAGCGACCAAAATTTTCCAGATCTTGACTCTGAACGGGGTACACGAAGCGATGGCGAGAATCCAAACCTCAGATTAGATCCAACCGTGCATACGTCAAAGTCATAATGCCCTTTGTGATGCTGCCAATGTAACACCTCCGAGATGCATGCGTTCCTTGTACCCACCATAGCCAGGCAACGAAGGGGAGGGAGGACCTACAATGCGTTAATGCTCGACCATGTTCTTGTTCATGAGTTAGACTTAGTCTGTTGTGCCAAGTCTTTCCACCATCGTCGAGTCCAGCACAATGTTGGTGTCCCAGGCATGACCTTCTTCTGTGTAGCATGTACCACATGATATTGTACACCCGTTCAAGGCTCTGAGACATGTCATCTGGTATTCATTCGGTATGTTCCCACAAGGCCTACAAGGGGCTCCACATGTCCCCTCGATTCCATCCATGTGCGCATCGACTCGGACTCAAGGTGCATGAACGGAGAACCGTCGTCGACTCCAGAGCTCCGATGATGTTCCAGTTGCAAGTGTGATCAGAAGAGGAGAAACCCTGATTGACTAGTACATTGATTCGATCCCGGCTCATTATCACATGTGGCTGGGGTCATATACGTAAGCATGTGCCTGCGTACGATCCTACAGCCTATTCAGTTCAAGTTCATTCCTCGTGTTGCAAACATCCAGATGGGGAAAGCGTACATGAAATTATTTTCGACTTTCTACCAAATCAATGCCCACGCCCCCCTTTTCGCACACAGTGGTAGTAGTAGTTCGCCTCATATCATGCCCATGTCCACTACGCAACGCAACGCTGACATTATCCTCAGACTTGCTCCTTTGCGTAGAGCAGAACTGTAGAGTCGGAAAGTACATGTGCGAAAAAAGACAGCCTACATATTCTACTGGCTCTGAGCCTACGGCCACACACACTCGGACATAATGCCAAGTGGTGAGGCCATCAATCTCCCATCGATAGATTGCGTCGGGCCGAAGAAGGCTGCACGCAGCTGACATCTGGGCGTATGCGAGGTCCTCCGGTGAATGACTGAGCTCCGACTTTTCGAGTGGGTAGTACAGAGGTGCGGTGTTTCAGCCGCAACGCTCTTGCCTCCCCCCTCACCTCCCTCCCTCCCTCCCGCCCTCCCGGAGGTCGTCGAGACATGACATGACTCGCCCAGATCATGCACCATGTCGTTGAGGTGGTGAGCAAAGGAACTGCACCGCGTCAATTCACGCCCGTCAATGCTCGAGAACGATCATGTCCGGCGTCCAGACATGGCGAAGAAATGAGCTGCACGGACAGTTTTTTTTGTTAGCCTCGGATGGAGGGAGAGGAAAGCTCATAGTTCGCCCGTAGTTCGTCTTTGGTGAAGAGGGCAAGTCTGCTCGCACTACGCTAATAATGAAGTGCTCAGATGAACTTCAGTGATATCAATTCACAAGACTCATGCAGCCAGCTGGATGTCGAGCACGGATGCTTTCACCATTCGCTCGAGTCTCTGGTCTGGACTGGACTGGACTGTTAAACTCCAAACACATCAATCATCCATCGGTAATGATTAAGCAAACTCTCGCCCACCACCGACCCGCTTTCGTACTATTTCCTATTATCCCAAGGTAATGAAACACTCACCCCGCACACATCCATCGCCAGGCACAGCAGCACCAGCCGGATCCAGTCTGTTCTGATCTCCCTCCCTCCCTCCCTCCCTGGCTTAAGGATTATCGTCAAGGGCATTGCAAGGACAACAGGGATGGGACTTAACTTGCTAGCAGTAAGTAATACTCTGGAACAAACATGATCTCTAAAAATGCAATTTATTTTCCCCCTCTGTTTGGCTGGTTCTCATACCCCGTTAGGTTACACTCGCCCGTTATTCCCTAGGTGCACACACAACTTTGTCGGTATTCTGTACACTTGCACTTTTGTTTGTGAAGTTAGCTGTTGGGTTACGTGACGTGGTTAACCCTGGTTAATGCTGCGAGACTGTAGTCGTGAGGCAACTTCTGTCTCGACGAGTGTTGGTCCCAGGTCAAGGAAAGGGCGACGCCGGTACTCAAGTGGGAGGCCTCGGGATTCCTCGAGAGCAACCGAGAGTAGACAGTAGACCAACACAGCGAGACCTGAGCGATACAGTATGGCCACCCCGCCGTAGGCTGGACCGGAGTCAGTGGACTGACGGCGACTGGACTCCGCTCTACGCCGGGGCCTGACTGGACTAGAGCGGCAGCGGAGTCACCGGCTGCACAAGAGAAGAGAAGGCCATCGCAGGCAGGCGGACCCCGATCGACGGTCGGTAGACGTGCGAGCCAACCTGAAGTCGTCCGTTTGGCATCGTGTGGCAGAATGCTGGAATCTGGTGGCAGGTGGACTAATGACAGGTGGTGTATGATTTGGCCGGACGGACAAGCACGAACCGAAAAGGAAAAGGCAACGACCGTATATCGGGCAGCAGCCGCGACCTGAGCTGACCCGCACTAGAATAAGGTACGGCGAGGCTGCGAGGGCTCGACCGAATGTTGGGGCTCCGCCTGGCGTCCGTGCTTCGAGATCGTGTCGGTCTGGTGGCAGAATCCAAGACCGCCGGCCGGAAAAGGAGTCGCGCGTTCAAGGGTTCAAGGCGGCCTCTGCTATCATCACCACTCGGCTGCCCGAGGCGCCTCATAATCAACCTTAATTAGGGGCGAGAGGCCCATTGACCTTTGCGGCCCATGAAATGCCCGCCCGCCCGCAAACTCGAAAACGTGGCTCCTCTGGAGCCCTGATCCCTGGGCTCGCGCATTGATTTCCGTCGCCGTTCGCACCGCACAACGATGACTGAAATCGAAATCCCGGCCGCTGGAGCCGAGTGCCGTATGTCGTCCTGCCTCCGCGCTGCAGTACGATCTTCTCGCCTGCAACATGACGCCGGCCGACGGCTCCCGGATCCCGGTGACCGGGAGGGGACCTGGGGCTCCAAGAATTTGGGGTAGAGGGTGGCACATGGTCGCTTTTGCTGTAATCAATTGCTAATCTCGATTCCGTCGTCGCAGGACAGGATTTCAGATACTCTGCGATAAGGCAATCGGATATGATCCCGTGAATCCTGTGGAAATTGGAGTGACTAATATTAATATTTCTTTTGTCCATCAATTTTGGCGTGCTTGCGTCGGAGCGACTGCCCTCCGCTCTCCCTGCTGCTTTGGACCATCCATCGCATGACGGCAGGCGGCCCGCCCGCCCGGCCGTCCGTCCGATGGTCGAGTCATGAGTGAGAGCGCGAGTTCGTACCGCCCGCCATCCCCCTTTGGATTCCGCTCCACAGTTGCCCTGATCATTCTTTTATATTTATGCGTCCCCCAACGGGATCGATGCTTGTTATAAAAATCCCCTCCCGAGCTCCAACTTGTCATCGTTAAAAGGGCCGCGCGAGCACCGGCAAAAGCACGCAATAGTGCCAACGTCTACATCTCTGGGCTCCTGAACGCTAGCGGCGTCGTGAGTGTCCAGGCCTGAAGAAAAGAGCCACCGAGCATGAAAGTGCAGAGAAAAGTGGCTCGCCGCAGTTGTGATCATTTGCTCGTAGGGGCACCTCGTAGAGGGGAGTGACAACGAGGGCGCTGGACCCTTGGGCCTCATCAGTCTCGACAAAGTCCCAAGACAAAAGTCTTCTGTCCGATCGCCTGCACTCCGACTTAATCAATCATATGACTGCCAGAATTATGGTCGCTCTTGCAAGGTAATCTCCACTCCCTTCAAGCCCTAATATCCTCAATGCGTTCTGTATAATACGTTGTATTATACGATGTGTATGGGAACTGATACGTGGGAAGAGGAAACATCAATTCCATCACTATGCGGGACGGGTATTGCGTTCAGGAATAAAGCATCTAGCAGGTTCTTCAATTCCTTAAACTCAACAAACTGCTAGAACTGGTAGTTATAAATAGCATGCAATAAAGTATTGCTACACCAATAAGTACTCAGTTAGAGAAAATAGGATGACTCTTTCTTGTTCTCTCAACCAAAAGTTTAATGTATCTTTGTTCCGTTAAAAATATCAATTCAGTATTTTTATTAGTTATTTGAACCTAACACGTAAATTTTTCTTGCTTTGAATCAATCTCTGACAAAGCGAGATTTATTACTATATTTTATTGTTTATAAAAATATTTAGTATAATTTTATCTAAGCCTTCAGTCCTATATTTTATTTTGTTTTTTCGAAATTTTTTGTAAAAAAATATTTTTCGTGCACATGATGAAAGTTTCAATAGACAAACTGGGCCTATAACTCAACAGTAATATATGTCGTTCCTGTACAGTACATTGTTCATGAGTAAAGGAGGAACCAACCGTGAGATCCTAAAACGATACCGCCTGAAAACATAAGTTGTAAATGATTTTCTTTGACGATTTTCGTCATTGTAAACTCCGAAAAAGAACACTTTTTCACGCACACTTGACGTTATGAAAGAATCATACCTGTTTCTGAGTTCATTGTTTTAATTGAACATTTCACTTTAGTCGTATAGATAAATGGGAACAGTTCAGATAATTGATTGAAATTGCTGGATTGACGCGCATTATATTGTTGTTCTATCTTGACAAATTTAAGTATGTACATCATTGAGGTGAACAAGTTGGAAGCTGGGTTTGGATGGGGCTTAAAGTTAAGCAAAAGAGACTCAAGGCCGATTGTGCAATGAAGACTTAAAAGAGAAGCCGAAGGTTCAATTACTGAAGGAGTAACGGATAACATGTGGAAGAACAATAATCGGAAGTACCATCATTTCAAAAAAATAAATTAGTGGAATGTAGGATCTTTCATTTCATTTGGATGACAATTTTTCCAACTTTCCTCAGATCTTAAATCTTAGGTGATTACTACGGTTTGATTATCCGTGATACTGGAATTAAATACCCATACACATCCAAGTCTTATTTATTTATTCAAAGATATTCATTTTGAAGTAAGTGATCTTAATTTCTAGATTAGCATGAAGAATATAAAATTTAATAATTTGGTAATTTGATAAGTATGAACTTGGAATCTTAAGACGAACATTGATAATCAACTTCAAATACTATACTCTTTTATAATATAAAAAACTACAAATTGATCTGATTTCTTACACAACCCAAAGATTCCATCCTGTAGTGAAATATTTCAGCATGTATTTAATGATATTATTCATAGGGTTTGGAGTTCACATCTGGGCTATGTCATTTCATCAATAATTGTCTTTCTATGTTGTCTATTCAGTTTTTTGATGACATAACATTCAACATGATTTAATGAAACCTGATTAATTTCTACTAGCAATTTTTCAATAAATATTACAAGCTTGAATTTATTATCAACAAAAATAAGATAATTCATCGGTTCAATATGACAATATTACATTTTCTTTACAAGTTTCTTCATCATGTGCTAATTAATTTTCTATGTTGTTTGTTCAGCTTTTTGATGACACAATCTTCAACATGATTGAATAAAACTTGAAAAATTTCTACTAGCAATTTTTTTAAATTGTTTTACAAGCTTGACTTTGTTATTAGAAAAATTCCAGATATTTGATTGGCTCAATATGAGAATAATACATTTTTTTTCAATTTTCTGTTCATGAATTTGATTATGCAGATTTTGATTTCTGTTATACGTTTTTTTTCCAATATTTTAATTTAATTCTCATATTGAATAATTAAATATCATCATAAATAAAGATTTTTTTAATTTTTTGATCAATATTTTACAAAAGACACTATTTTTTCCTGCATGTCATGCTACTAAGAGACAAATATGTCTGTAGTAGCATGAAATGACGTATTTTTACAGGTTTGACTTTGAGAACTATCTTGAGACATTACTCGTATTTTGAATCATTTTTTTGATATATTTAGATAAATACCATAAATAATTATGCTTTGGGTTCATTCATGTTTTTCGATTTTTTGTATCAATATTGAAATGTAATAAGATTAAAAATCATACCGAATTGAATCCTGTAAACATTTGCGATTGCATTAAATGATATATTTTTTTATCTACAGTTTATTTACTTAAAAAAAAATTAGATTGCTCAAAAAAAGTCACAGGCTCTGACTTCATTAGCATTGAATAAAGCCACAGGACAGTGGCAGGTTTATTTAAAGTGAGGTATTTGAAAATGCTTAGACAGGAAAAAAATATATTTTATAATTATTTTTATTAACTCATTCAAAGTTTTACTCATGACCACAGAAAGCTTTATATAATCATGGGATTGGGGTGCTTGCAAGTTTATGAATAGCTAATGTTAATCATATTTGTTTATCCAGTTATTTTATCAGTCCGCTTCTTCTATTCCCAGACACCGGAGGATAGAAATTTATTGATTGTCCAACATAGGTACAAGGGATTTAGAGTAGGTTGAAGAACATTTTGTGAATGCCCAACGATGTACTTGAAAGATCTCGGGAACGGAGGAGGTTGAAAAAGACATTCATCATCTACAATCGAAAAGAAAAAAATCTAGCTTGAAATTCGTCGGATCATACGAGTCGACCCCATTGTGGCCTTGTACATAAAGGCGCGGAGCACTAACTAAAGATAGAAGCCAGGAAATATTATCGGCCGAAGATAATTGGCGCCACCGGCGTTCGACTATCAATGGGCTTTCGAATAGCTAGCAAGTAGAGTGCTGGACACGGCTCGGCAGGGAACGAGAAATAAAGCAAAGCAGGGGCCTGGGATCTATGCGTCCATAATTGCGTGTATTTATAGGGTTTTTCGCAACTCCAGATCATTTGGTGGGTTCACCGTAGCCCCAAGCCGAACCCCCGCTGGTCAGATTTGAATTCAAACCAAAACTTTTAATAAGCCCCATTGAATGCGAAATGTAGGAGGTTCCTTAGGCAAGGAAGGCGGCAGAAATTGGACAGGCCGGCCGCTTCTTTCTTGCCGCACCCGTCTCCGTCTCCGGTCGACGTAATATGCACAACTCGATTCAAAAACTCGGTCAAGAAATGAATGAGCCGAGGATTGCACGAGGGGGCAGATGGTGCTGGACGGCGAAAGCGATCGAGCATCTTCGCAGGTCGCCCGACGACTTTAACAAAGAGGAAAAGGCACGAAGCGGACGAAATCCGGTATGGTATGGTATGTTCCAGCCTTCATAGCTAGACCGACCTCAGATCTGCCGTGTTCTTGCGGCATGGATTGGTGTTTGAGAAGTGAAGCCCTAAGTGAATATCATTTGTGCCTTCAAGTTGTCGTTTCGGCCTGTTCGAATGGAGGGGATTATGCTGCGCTTGAAGTTCGTACTGTTCCTGGTCCAGTGAGATCCATGAGGATGTTAGTTTGGAAGGAATGTTGGGGATCTGGATTTGGTGAGAGCGAACTCCACGTCTACGTGAGACACTGGAGGGAGCAGGTGGATGATATGTTCATGATGTTTAGCAAGTCAAAGAACGAGACATGCATCTCCGACCTATGCTTATGCTCTGTAGACGAAGACCAGCCCAGGTCATCTCATCCCATCTAATCTTTCTAGAGAAGTGTTGGAAGAATCGATGCTTGCGTTCTTCTTTTGACGCGAAGCGCGTGCTCGATTGTTGCTTTCGAGTGGCTTTAGTTGTCTCGATGATTGACGTGAACGCAAGGCAACGCAACTTCCCATGACCCGTCGCAACGAAATGAGTGTCTCTTTGTCCCTTGTCCCCCCTTCCTTCTAACGGAATGCGGACTGACTCATCGTGTGTTTCCTACATGTCGTGTCCAGAGCTTCCCGGTTTGGGACCGGGGTTAGATCTCTGCGATCGCTGCTTCACGACCCCATATTGGTTCGAGTTTCCGATCTTTCGAACCGATGGAGATTCGGGGTTCGAGAACGGAGACGGAGATGGGATGGATGGAAGGATGCTAGAGGCACCATGCACTGACTGTATCATGAGGATTGGGACGAGTTGAATGACAGGCAGACATCAGAGAGAAGTGGATGGATGAACTGTGGATGGAGCAAGATTCTGGTAAAACGACACTGGCCATTAATGAGGAGGATAACATCTGGTTTGGCCCTAGGCCTATGCTTTATTTCTACTGCGAAGACAATGATTAGGTCTGGTTCGCTGGTCTTAGAGTGAATGATTTCAGGTATCAATGTTGAATCATTATCAAGGGACGGGTACTGATGGTTTTCCGTAACTGATCTTCTCCATCTCTCGGTCTCAGATGGCCATTTGTCATGTCAGCTCCTCTCCACATTTCTAGTGGTCTCACCGGATTGTGTTGATAGCACCTCCAAACTCCGCATATTCACGTGAAAAGGTGGTGCCGTTTGTCAGATTCCGCGCCTCCGTCGTCCCTCGAACTGCTTGCTTCATCATCAGCCGAGATCACCATTTAAAACAAGCCACGGGAAACTTATTATAGAACGTCACTCCCTAAATTAAGATCCCGTCGACCTTAAGACATGTTAATGTGCACAATAAAGGAAGCATCCATTCTGGGGGAAGACAGCTATAAACTCGTCGGCCCCTTAATCATCCTCCTGCCAACGGCCAGTTTCGAGTAAGTAATAGTACTCCCTCCTCAAGCGCAATCACGCGTGCCGTCACGTTGCGACTCGTCCCACAACGGGCCACTACCGGTAACACCACATGCGGTTACTGCTGTCCGAGTTAAAACTCCTGACGTAAAGGCTCGATCATGAGAGTAAATACCGACAACAGTTGTTGAAATGCGGTTATGTGCCGGAATCGGAATCGGTCGCACCTTCGCAGGGACCGACCAAGTGTTGCAGACGGGGGAACAGGAGACTAAGATAAGGCACTCTGAGTTTAAGGTGGAAAAGAGCTCGTGCGTGGATTGGAGCCAAGCGACGCGAGGGGCCCTGGGGGCCGCAGTGGGTCCTCCCCCTGGCCCGACTGTCGCAGTAGTTTAGTAGTTTAGTAGTTTAGTGCCATGTATCCTTCTACTGTGCTGTACACTGGGCTGGTCCTACGAGCGAGACCACGACAAACACAAGGACAAGGAGCCAAAGGATCCAAAGGTGCCAAGAGAAAGAGATTATTGTCTTCGTTGTTCTGTAACTTCTCTTTGTCTTGTCTTCGTCTGTCTCTCGTCTCACAGTCTAGTATCTACTTGTAGCACTGACCGAGCTGATGATAAAAGTGGCGCAAGGTGTTCGTATCCCGATAATGTACCCGGTTGGTCGCTAGTAATCCCCCACCTCCATCGACGAGAGCATCGTTTCTGAGCGAGAGATAGAGAGAGGGAGAGAGAGAGTGAGAGTGTGTGAGAGAGTACTGCACTGCACTGCCTCGCCTCCTGCTGGGATTAGTACGGAGGAGACGAGAGGAGAGGAGAGGAGGGCCAAGCAGGTTTGAGTGAAAGAGAGAGTGGCAGTGACTCCTCTCGACTCGACTCGACAAGACCCGACCGGACTCAATTCGCACGAACTGTGAAGAGGATATTGCTCACGGGGTCAGAGTCAGAAAGTACTGGCAAGGAAAGGAAGTGGTACCTGCTGATAGTTGTCGTCATCGCGAAAGAAATTGGGAGATAAAGGAGGGGTGACGTGAGGTTTGGTGCTGGGCCCGACCGATTCGAATGCTCGCCCTACTAACGACTGTCTTGAATTCGCGGTCGAAGGGAGGAGAAGAGAGAGGCGCTATCAGGTTGTCCGAGGGCGCGTGAGAGTGAGTTGGTGAGTGCTCGCATGATGTAGCAGTTGTGGTCGTCTTGAGAGCAAAATCCGTATCGTGCATGTTTGGTTACTGTTAGCGGGGCTCGATGTCACTGCACGTCTGGATCTGGACTGATAGTAATGTAGTGGGACTGGAGCTCAAGAAAGAGGAGCTGAGAGTCTGGAAGACGAATGGTGGACATGTACGGAGTCGAAGACGGTTGTGTGCATCACATTGTCATTGTAAGCAGTGTTGAGACAAATCCGGCTGCAGACTGTCACTCAGGCGGAGTTGGTTGTTGTCTTCATGGCTTGAAAATGAAGAACGTGGCGAGCAAGGAAAGGACTTGGACTGACTGCCTGTGAGTAGGTCACAACATCGCGAGTCAACCTGTCTACCCCGGGGATGTGCGAGGAGGAAGAGGAGGGTGTTGCCTCAGCTCTTCTCGCGACGGGCGTTTCCTCCGGGCGGGCGATGGCGAACGCGCCTGGGTTTGGGTTTGAGTGGGAGTTGGAGTTGACACTCGAGCAGGCTGGAATTGTCAGTCTTCCTTCTTGCACGAGGAAAAGAGTTGTTTTGCTCCCAACCGACAGTGAGTTCTCTTCTCGTACCACCCGTAATATACCTCAACGCCACCATTGCCACCAGTTTGTATTCGATGTCTGATCAAATTATCTGCTGGGACGATATTGGGATTTTTAATCAATGAACGAAGACTCCGGGGATGCATCCAGCTCAACAGCCCGTACGCCAGACAATCGAGAGGTCCATTATCATCATCGACACCAAACGCAGCATCATCTTCGCAGCCACGTCCACCTGACCAACAATATTCATCTCAGAAATTTGCTCCACGTGCAGAGGCACAGGATACTGATGGAGGCTCGCAATTCAGCCGAGCTTCCGCTCATGAAGGAGCTGACCATTCTGAGGAGAGCCCGCTCGCTTCGGGATCCGTCGACAAGTCCTGCATGGAGCTCGGCTTCTCATGGTAGCAGGAAAGTTCGAGATTTTAGCTCTATGATGAAAGATGAGGGTCGAGAAACCAAATTGGCAGGTAGCGATTACAGGCGAGATGCTCGAAGGCTGCATTTGCAGGAAAGCGATTCCACCCCCAAGCCTAGCAAACGCGAGAAGGTTGATCTCAGAGGTGGAACCCATCATTGGGTTGCTGACTGTTTCGGGGACGAAGCTCTGGAGGGTGGGTTTGATCAGAAGGAGAATCATGTTCTGAAAAATGAAATGAGGGATACGTACCTCAACACCAATACGAGCAGCGGCGAGCTTCGGGGGAGCGAGACCAAAAGCAGTAGTAAAGGAAAGAAGGGGCGAAGACTAGGCAAGTCCAGGAGTTACCCCCGGTTTGGAACTGCTGGAGGGTCCGAAGAGGAAGACCCGTCCAAGCCCCAAGCACGGCGATCTAGAGGCTCGTCGGACCTGCAGCAGTCGGAGAAGGATGCATCCGCACCATTCGAAGGCGCAGTCCTCGGGGAGAGGGTAGTCGATGGCCATGTGCGCTCGCTAGAACGGGATGTGGTGGAAGATGACAGGCTTCAGAGAGGATCCATTCGGCGGCCCGACAGCGGTTGGGACGAAACGGAACGGCGAGCCGAAATCGCCAGGAGAGTCATATCTGAGACTGCCGCCAGTCAGTTGAGACATCAGGGCTCTCAGCTCTCATCTCCCGTTTTCTCCAATAAGGCACACTCCTCGCACGAGCAAGCCATATCGGGATTGGACTTGGGAGGCCCTGACAGCGAGAGAGACGAGTATGGAGACAGCGACGAAGATGAGATTAGTCTCAGACATGGGCTCAAGCCGCTCTCTTCGTCTCACATGAGTTCCCATGCGCAATCTCCGCTCCTGTACAGAGACTCGATGACGACTTCAGATCGCAACTCGAGGGGCGGAAGGAGGAAATCCAAAGGTGCCAGCTCGAGAGATGGACCGCGACACCGAGAAGGGCTTAATTTGAGAGTTACAGGCAACACGCAGGGAAGATTGAGAGGTCGTAGATCGAATTTGCGCCCCAACATGACCCCGGACAATAACTCAGTATTCGGTATGGAGGGTGAATTGGAGGTTTCGGAGCTGCCACGAAACGGCTGTGGCATCCCTTGGTACTGGACAAGAATGCACAAGTACAAAGGAAGAAGGTTTCTGGACATTGCTGGCAGGAGCTTAGCATGTGGCTTTCCGGAGAGCTCGAAGAGGAAAACCGTGAAGAGCTCTGATAAGGTTTCCAGCAGTATCAACCGTCGAGCTATAGTTCTTGCGGAAAGTCCACTTAACGATAGATCGGGTCTCACAGATAGGGAGTCTGAGGAACTCGATAATCGCAGTAATTTCGACGGTAACGACAGCCCATGCTCGCCGAGAGCTGATGGCAAACTTCTCACTGCCGAGCGCTCTGGGGAGTTGATTTTCGGCTCCACTAGAGAAGATCTCAGTGGTCTTTCATTGCCAACGTCCCCAGCTTACGAGGAAGGACCTCACATGCAGCAAATTATCGCAGCGCCGGAGGTACCTAGAAGCTTGAACCAAAAATACCGACCCAGATCATTCAGCGGACTGGTCGGTCAGAGCATGGTGGTCAAATCACTGAGCACGGCCATACTTAAAGGCAAAATCGCACCGGTATACCTCTTCCAAGGACCTCGTGGAACAGGGAAAACATCGGCCGCCAGAATCTTCGCCCATGCGCTAAACTGTGTTTCGGACGTAGCCCACATGAATCGTCCATGCGGATATTGCAAAGAGTGCACGCACCCTTCGCCGGACATTAGGGAAATTGATGCCGCGAGCAATAACGGTATTGAGAGCGTCAAGGCCCTGATGGGCAGCATGCTTGCGACTCCATCAACTTCACGGTGTAAAGTTTTTATCATCGATGGATGTCACCTGCTCACACCAGAAGCGTGGAATGCCTTTCTCAAGGCTTTGGAGGAACCTCCGTGGCATGTTGTATTCATTCTTATCACAACTGACCCCGACAAAATTCCTCGAAATGCCATGTCCCGCTGTCAAAAGTTCCTCTTCAGCAAAATCAAGGAGGCGGACATTGTAAATAGGCTCCAAATTCTGGTTCGAATGGAGGGTCTGGAGGTGGACGACGCGGCCTTAGCTTTGGTAGCGGCCCAGGCTCACGGCTCCCTCAGAGATGCTGAAACGACACTGGACCAGCTGAGTTTACTGGGAAAGCAAGTTACCCCGGCCATGGTACAGGAGATGGTATGAGTGATGACTCCGTTTTTCTTCTCAAACAGACAGTGTACACGACCTTTCTTATTTTAATGAGCCCATCGTGAGATCCGCACGTGTCTCTTGGTGGCCATGTATCTGTGGGCAATGATTGCCTTCAAAATCCATGGAACAAATCTGTTGTATTGTGCCGATCTTGCTGTCCTGTCTCAAATCTGAGCTTTGTTGGAAATGTCGGAAAGTAAGTAGCGCATTCATCCTGACTGACCTGGACTGTGACCTGTTTGTTCTGGAATTCTTTCTTCCAGGTCGGGTTGGTATCAGATGACAAGTTAATCGATCTCCTAGACTTGGCGCTGTCGGCAGACGCAGTTAGTACCGTGCGCTGCATGCGAGATCTTTTGGACGGGGGTGTTGAGCCTTTGGCTTTAGTATCTCAGCTAGCCACTCTTATCACCGACATTTTAGCTGGAAGCTTCATTATTCCCCGCGACAAGCAAATGCGCGGCTTTTTCTTTAGACGATGTGGTAGGTTGCCGATGAGCTCTGTTCGGTCGATGCAATACTTCCAGCAATCGATTTATGGACTTGAAAGGAGAACTCATGAACTATGAGTTCTATAGAACTCATGTTCAAGAGTGTTCGAGTGACTGATCTGGCAAGTTTTTCATGTGATCACGTGCAGGTAAAAAAGAGGAGGCAGTAAGGTTGAGGCAAGCTTTGAGAATCCTTTCTGAAGCCGAGAAGCAATTGAGAACCTCCAGTGATCAGCCTACGTGGCTAACTGCCGCTCTTCTGCAATTTGCACCGGACAGATCTTATCAACCATCTTCTGTCGAGACGAGTGTGTTGGCAAGTCCGGTTGCACAACTGAACGATACAAGCGAGAAGGAGACAGTCGGAGAATCCGTGCAGCCATGGACGAGTGAGGAACAAATCCATTACAATCCTGACAACAATAGTAGAGACGGAGCTTCTTTCAACGATACACGGAAGAGAAGTGGTGCCATGCCCAGTTATATCGAAGCCAAGGTCCATCCTTCAGAGTCGCCGCTAATTACCGGTGTGAGTACTAGTCCTGTAGACAGGAGGTCAGGGAGGCCAAGTAACGCCAGGTCCGATGAACCTTTGTTGCCAGGCAGCATTGATGATCTCACTCAGAAGGACTACACTGTCATGAGTCAACGAAAACTAGAAGAGGTGTGGCAGAGAGTGCTGCAGGGAAGTCGCTCCAACGTGCTGAGACAGCTGCTTCAAGGCCAAGGGAAACTGCTCTCTCTTCTCCTGGCAGAAGGTTGGTTATATAACTCACCTGCCCTCTAAACTTGATTGACTGGATCAACTAATAATGTTATTCAGTCAGCTGCCTTAACTAACACGAGACTCCTTCAGAGAGCTCTCAATGCCACGGCTAACTATCTGCAGGGAAGGTGGCTATTTTCGTAGCCATCATGGTCTGCTGAGAAGCCCAGTACTCGACAAACCTGCTGCTTGACGACGATCCTCCGAGACAATCAAAAGAATTAATGTATTTGTCCCTGGAGTCTTTCTGCGAAGCTAATACCTGTCTTGCGTTTTGATGATGCGCAGCTTTTGCAGTAGCCCACTTAGAGTTCCGACATCCTGAGCACAAAGCACGTGCCGAGCGTTCCCGTTCCAGAATCTGCAATGCTTTCCAGATGGCCCTGGGTTGTCCGGTAGAACTGCAGATAACGCTGGCCTGCATGCCGGGTGAACAAGACGGAGGGAGACCCCAGTTGAACTTCACTAGCTATGAGGATCAAGCCCAAATGTTCGAGACCTGGCAAAGGGAGAAATCGAAAAGTAAAAACTCCACACCCGAGGGACGACCATATAGACGAAGGAACAGAAGCTCAAGAAACCAGCGTTCTTCAGATTCTGTTGAAATCTCGAATTCACTATACAATGCGGTTATGGGAGACAGCAAAGGTTTCAAACCGGAAATACTCCCTGTTGTCGGTTCCTCTAAATGGGCAAGGGCGGGTAGTCGTCACGAAGAGGAAAGAGCAGATGGGGTTTGGTATCGAGATGGCAAGAGAATCACAGGTCCTCCACACGACTTTCACCTCCACCCCGAGAATCAACGTTCAAGATATGCCCCTGGGTTTGTTAATAGGACAACTTCTGGCAAGGTCCCCTTAAAAACAGCCATCCATCAGTTTGATGACAGTGTGGACACTCCTAACCACGATCTTCAAACTGATATCGTTTGTGGCTCTTCCCGAAAGAAGAGTGTAAAGTTCCGGGACGTCAATAGCGGAAACTCTGCCAGCTTCGAACAACAAGAGACACAAAATAAGTAAGCGTCCTTGGCCGCTATAAGTCCCTGTCATGCGAATGTTGTTATCGCCAGCTCCATTCGTTTACCCTGTATGCTGCAGAGATTTAAGTATGTTGACCTGCTTTATTTTGCTGCGTTCTATACGCGTAAAACATTCTCGGACGTGCGTTTGTGGCCATTGACTCGTCGACGCTGTCCAATTCTTTTCAGTCACCCGCCGGAGGTCAAAAGATTTATAATTTGCTCTGCAATTTCGTCATGTTTCCCCTCCTCGACGTCAAGGAGGGTGGAACCTCGTGTTAAGTCTTCTCCAACGGAATCACGTCTGCTGTGTTGGAGAGTACAGAAAGTTGATGAAGAGAAGGTGTGCACCTTTTCACGCTTGGTTTGATCAGTAGGTCTTTTTCTTTCCGGCATTTTTCGGTTGGAAGAGAGCTATTCGTGATAAGTCAGTCCGCTGTCTTGTAGTCTTGTCTAAGACGTTAGATAGCTCCTTTTATGCATCTCAGATCCTTGTTTTGTAGATCAAGAGGAATCAAGTCATTGTGCAGTCTCTGCTCTCGGACTGACTATTGATGTGGTCATCTACTTTTGACAGATCAAAATCCAACGGCTCAGACGCCAAAGAAGGGTCAGATTTCTCCTCAGGCTTGTACCTTGTGCAAGAACTACCACTTCACAGCAGAACCACAACTAGACTAAGAGCTTGATGGATTTGCAGAACCACACCTAGATTTAGAGCTTGATGGATTTTTTTCATGACACAACTCGAGTGAAGGTGGTGCCGTGTGATAGTAGTCAGACAGAGAGCAACGAGTCAACGATTTTGAGACTTTGATGAGGATGTTTCCAACCTGAGTGCTATGCTAGCAGCTGACTGTTTTGATAAAAGCAGTGTTGTCTGCACAAGCCTTTACCCTTGAGACCCTCTATAGCCGTAGAGAAGATAGTTTCACGAAGTAGGGACGATGTTGGACTTTATACATAACGTGTTTCATATCAGTCAAGAAAGTTGGCAGTAGAGAGTGATGGGAGAGGGATTAGCGTGCTTGCATCCCTCCTCTCTGGACAGAAGCTGATCAGAATCGGCTCTATCAGCTTTTCTCCAGAAAGAACGGCTTTGTCTCTCAACCACCTTCAATATCTCACCAACTAAGCGAGCACTGTCTTGTTATAATACAAACACAACATTCGATAGGCCGTAACTGCAGGTTGGAAATCTAGGTGCTCAGAACGTTGAACGTCATCCTGCATTTACAATTTACGATCCTGAAGGCATATTCACCGAAAGCTCATACGAGTAATGTCGTTGTAAAATATGAGATGTGACTATTCGTCACGACCACCAACGTTGTTCTGGATTCACCAAAGATCAATAACCACTTGAGGAGATCCATGTACGCAACACTTGTAGATGCTTGCTGTCTGTCGTGTGATCTGCCGCTGAAACTTCGTGTGGTTAATTGACTATCTCTCATCTGTGCTTTACATGATGTAGGCAGCATCGCCCTCCTCACATGGCGATCTTAGTTGCCGTCCTCTTCTGAATTCCCGGTGGTCTTACTTGTTGAAAGAGAAACTCGCATTTCAAGATGGCGAAGGCCCGTCTCACCCGCAAGTCTCCTTCCTGTGTCGTCCCTCCAGACCTCGACGAGATATGAGCTCGGACACGGGACATTGGGCAGTCTGGTACAATGCATCGTATTCCTTTCGCCATCCAGACTCTCACTAACTTCAGCTGACTGGTTGTACAACATGTTCCCGTGCGACTGCGAACCACTTTACTCTACTGCACCAACTGATGCAGACAATTTCTTACACTCCTACTCTACGACGACTGAGACGGATGGAATCATCATCCTCCTTCCGTAGGATGGAAAGATCGAGGTGGGAATGAAGTCTTTCTACACACCATCCTGTCGTACTTGCCAGGAGAATACACCTACCCTTCGTCGACCACATCTCACAGACGGAGTTAGCAAGAAGTCCAAGCAAAGACGCGAAGAGAAGAGCGTACGCCGTCGAGATTCGTGGACGGATGCTTTGCTAGCAACTGAACGTACGAAGTACACTAAGCCGTCATGTACGCGTCGTAGAGGAGTAGCGGTGACGTGAGTTGCCACGTACGGCGCAACTGACTCCTGTGCAGGCCGTGCCGCCTGGAAAACTTGAGTGCGCGGTCAGGAAGTGCACCGCGGTCAGCGTCGGCCTTGTCTGCCACTCTGGGGCTACTAGGCCACAATCAGAGCCCAAACGCATCCCGCGGCGTTCGAGGTAGTTTAACGTGTTGTGTTGTGCCCATGATGGGCACTGGAGGGAACGCCGTAGATGATTGCGTTGGCAGAGCCGGCCGGCGGTTGCGAACTCGAGATCCGTTTTTCTGAACTACGGCGGTCCTGACCGACCACATCTAGGACACCCTTCATTATTAGCGTATCCTACTGCAATGTCACATCATCACCGGTGTAAGGACTAGCAGTGCGAATTTCTACCGTCCTAGCGTGGCGTAGCTGTCCGTGTTTGTGTTCTTCTGTCTTTGATGCCGACAAAAGGAGGGCGATACAAGAAATGCATCTGCCTCCTGCCCCGAATTGCCAGGTCAGGTCTTGACAGGAAGCACTTGACGTAGTTAGTACTCCCAGACCTAAGCGAGACTCTTGTCCAGTCTCACTTTCCTAGTACTGTGCCATTTACAATTAATCAGAGAGTACATGGGATGAGAGCGTCGTAAGATTCTCCAAAATCGCTATTCTAATAATGCACAAGTGGGTCAATTGTAGGTTGTTGAACTCGTATTTGGAAAAAGTCGTTGAATACACTGGGGATGTAAATTCAGTATTTGTCCGTCCTATTCTCTTCTGAATAAAACTAGAAAACTCCTCAAATTGGATTATCTATGCACTAGCAATTGGTTGTGTTCTTAAATGACATGAATAGTCATGCAGAAAACGCTAAGCTAAATAAAAAGCAATCACATCAATCAATAGTTTATCCAGGCATTGCAAACACTGGATATGAGTCTATTACAAATTATATATAACTAATTCAAATATGACAATCAAATCCTTGACATTGCTTCCTATGACAATCAACTACTTGCAACCTTAAGAATGTGAAGACATAGCTTGCCCCAAGAAAATTATCATGCAATTATTTCCAAGTTAACATTTAGAAATACTATATAACACTTGAAGTCAAAGGTTCTTTGAGACATGCATATGGCTAATAAAAAACCAAGATATATACGTAAACTAACTATATATATATATATATATATATAGAGAGAGAGAGAGAGAGAGAGAGTATAAGTTTTAGTGAGCATTGAGAAGACTTTCACAATACATCATTCAAATCACTTGCATTTATCTAGCCAATACCATAGTTGTTTTATACAAGTATGTTCAAGGACATGATTTAGATGTCAATGAAACACAGAAGTGAAAACATATATCTTAGTCTGAGCTCCTTTTGCATTTGATATCTCAATTGTTGACTAATTCATGTGATGATAAATATTTTAAAAAACAAGTAGAGATCTTGTAGAAAGCATCTTTCAAGATTGTAACACTTGAAATTATCTTTGAAGATGATCACAAATATAATTTCATATGAATGATGATTGCTGAATTTGTCTATTATATCAAATATAGATTTATAAGACAAAGATCAGAAAAAAATCAATAATAAACTTGACTTATGGCCTTACTTGCTCCACAAAATAAAGAAAATGTGTGTTTTGAAAAAAGACAAAGGCTGAAAGCTCAAGGAAGTAGAAAAAAAAATCTAAACTATTTTCACATATGGGATGATGAAAATACACAATGTGAGAATTTTAATTAATCCTTGAACAACAGAATAAATTTGTGATATTATTTTGCAATGAAATTAGTATTGATGTTGATGAAATACTTCATCAAGTTGATGTGAGTAAAATCTACCATCAAATTTGAATTGCCAATGAAAATATTCATAAAAGATCTCTTTGTACTAGTATTGATTTCTTTGAATCTCTAATGATGCATTTTGATGTCATTAACTCATTTGCTACATTCATGGTACCAATGTAGACAATTTTTTATCCTCAAAAATTTTCTTTGAAGTGAGCGTGATATATCAAATTGACCCGGTATGCTTGTCGATAGGGTGATAGTCTCCACACATCCGTCTTTCAGACTATTTGCCATGCACATCATTCTTGTCTGGCAGTACAATAGTAAAAGCATATTCATCATCTGATTCTCCACAAGCCTTACTCCAAGAAGATCTTGGCATCTAGCTTTGATCAATGTCCACTCCGCATTTCATTATCTATAGGATTGCCAAAAATTTGATGCATCAACTTCTAATTCAATCCTAATATCTAGTTCCTTCAACCTTCATATTTTCCATCCTAAATGCAAACAATTGCTGTAACTTAGTAAAAATTATCTTTCTAATCTTCTCTATACACATGTGAGCTTATATCTTATATCAAGCTCCCAAGTTTCAAGGATAAATGCTTCTAGAAGAAAAGACTTCAACATTGGTTGTTATGCAGTATCAAGAGGAGCGAGGCTGGAGATTTTTCCAACCATTCCACATGAATTAGCATCCTCACCTTCTTTTGGTAGTTCCACTCCTACAGTCGCTGCTTTGACTACAATATGAATTTGCATATAATTACTAAATTTTTCACCCCCTCCGTAAAAATCAGCAAGATTTTACTTGTGCAAGAAAACATGAGTACGATGAGGTGGTACTTGGTTGGCACGCAGCTACATAACTTTTCATTTTAATAGAAGAGTATGGAGTTGATTTATTTCAAATTTAAGCCAAGACTAACTGCATGTGCTGTTGTGACAAGATATCGTCTCAATCTATAAGTACAAAGTCAGATGACGTAGATACATAGTCTATTGAATACTTGATTGAAGGCTTAGACATCTACAATGATTAAACTATTGTGAAGTTTTTGCATTGTGGTATTTTGGAAGTCACAACTGATGACAATGAGCCTGATCAGATTCTCCAAAGAGCAATGAGATTCAAGTGGAAAGTATCATATACGCTAAGCTTGTGAAAGCACGAGCGAGTATGTTTCATATACTTTAAAAAGAATCAGATTGATTTGGCATGCTCACGAGGAATTGGAACATTTTAGATTGAAGCATACACATAGCTTACTCTAAGGACAATATTGATGGTGTATAGCATGATGAGCCCAAGTTATGGCAACTCCAGATTAAAGGAGTATAAGGGTATTTAGAAAAGGAATTTTCCAAGGATCTAAAACAGAAATACCTTTTGGAGGCCAAATAGCTCCGATCTCAATCGTAGGTGCCAAAGAAGAATGAAAAAAAGCCCAAAAGAAAACTTAAAAAAAACATGACTTCAGAAACAATGAAAAGAATCATACCATAGCGAAGTCCTAATTGGACCACAAATGCAAATTGAAGTTAAACAATTTATAGCAAAGTGCATGGTGTATGACCAGATAAGAGCGTCATTCAAAGTTTTCACATTATAACTACATTCATTATCAATTATGGGCTTATTATGATGGAGCATTTTTCCAAGTGCTTTGAGCTACTACCATAACCAGATAAGTATAGTAAGGATGTAGTTTATGCTTTTTTAGATAGCACACTTAGCCAATTTGATGCTCCACTGGATATGTTGACTGATTAAGGTATAGAATTTTTTGTTGTTTTTCAAGATATACTCAATAAATGATTGATTTATCATTGCATCAAATCGCGGGATCATCCAAAATTAGACGATATGGCTAAAATAATTGTGAAGACAATGAAGAGCACATTACGCAAATATGGTTTATGGTAAGTGATTGGAATTTGCAACTATCCTCGTTGATCATGGATTATTGGTTTAGTAAGCAAGCCTTCTTGGCCTACTCTTTAGCGTATATGTTGCTATTTGGTAAAGAGCATGAGTTACTTGCCGCAATTTTGAGAAAGCTTAGTGGATTAATGATGATCCATGTGTTTAGATTCAAATGCGTTCTTAGAGGTCAAAACCATTCCACAGTGTTATGTCCATGACATTTTAGAACTTGGCCATTGTTCAGCATTGTGATAAACTCATATATTCAATCATTGTGGAGAAAGCTAAAGACCCAACATTAGAATACTTGCTCCTCATGATTTTGTATACTTCCAAGAAACTACTCGTACTATCTCAGATGTGTCTGCAGGGAGCATTATATTGAGGTTGCAAAAAAATTTGACATCTATGGTGCTCATGTTTGAGGGCCGTGACAATATGCCGTGGAATAATCATGTTCAAAACTTTGCATCATGTCATCTTTTACACACTTTGTATCATGTGTTCCCTCATCAATGCACTTTCAAGAAAAGAGTATGCTCAAAGTTCAAAGTAGATATTCTTGCTCATGAGAAAAACCGTGCAAGATTTG